AACCCTCCTTCCTCCTCCCCACCACCACCATCACCAACAAGAACAACAACAAAAATACCACCACCACCACTAACAACAACAACAACAAAATCAAAAACAACAACAGCAGCAACAGCAACAGCAACAGCAACAACAATACAAATACCACCACCACCACCAACAACAACAACAACAACAACAGCAGCAACAACACCACCACCACCACCTCCAATAACAACAACAACAACAACAACAACAACAACAACAACAACAACAACAATCAGTCACCTCGACACAGCCGTCCGTTCAGAAGCCTATAGCCAGGAGGACAAGAACATTTGTAGCTTCCTCGTGTGTTGGTACACAAGTGTGAACATGGTGAGTTTGTACGCTCACATTCGTTTTCATCTGAGGAAAGAAAGCCAGGGCAGGCGATATAGTAGTGACAAAGAAATCAAGAAATAATAGATAACAACATTTTCAAACATTTTCAGGGCTACTCATCCTGAAAATAGCACAGTAAACATAATAATTTTAAAAGAAATAAAACGACAACCAAGGAATGAATGAATAGACCAACTATACACATTAAAGAAAGAAAGCAGGGAAATAAACGATTAAACTGAAGACAGACGGCTCCAATACAAAAAGAAAAGTGAACCCAGTAGTGCAAGAAGGACCAGAAAAACAAACTGCTCACCTATAATAATAAAGAGGGAAAACAGAATTGTGCAATAATTGAAGATACATCAGTGGGAGTAACGGAAAGCATAGCTGTACAAAATAACACATAAGTACACCAAGTACAAACTGTAAAGTAGAACGAATAACACATGTATAAATACTAAACAGAAAAAAACTATAACAATAACAACAAAAAATACCCCACCCCCCAAAAAAAAATAAAAATTGAAAAATAATAAAATAAATAAATAAATAAATACATAAATAAATAAATAAATAAATAAATAAAATAATAAATACTATGAGTGCAGAAAACAAACAAAAAAACTGATGGATCATCTGGGTGAAATGAAACTTATATTTTTTAATATTTTTTTTTATAGTAGAGGTTTCTACGGCGCTCGCAACTGCATAAGGTTATATGAGCGCCAAGGGGTGGGTGTCAACAGAGAAGTCTTTACAGGGAATCAGACTTAGACTGCTCACCTCTCTAGCTTCAACAGCACAAGGTCTGCTTCGACTATCAAGGCACCCCAAAATAGCAGGTCATAAGAAAGTGACAAACACACAAACGAAGTAAAGGAAAATGACAATAGTAAGGATCAGGAAAGAAAAAGCAGCAGTTCCCTGTTGTAGATCAGGCACAGTTATGAGCGTGACATGAATCAGCCCATTTACAATTCTACTCTGCTTGAACGAGAAACGTCCCCCCTTTGGGAATGGCCTAAAGACACTATAGTCAGTGGCACTGTCCCGGGGGGTATTGAAACTTATGATAATTAAACTTATGAAATAGCCCTAGCATGTTACAGCATCAATAGATCACTGACCAATACACCTGCCGTTGTCCCCGAGTCGGAAGCCCAGGTGACAGGAGCAGCGGTAACTGCCCACCAGGTTCTGGCACGTATGCTCACAGGTGTCTGGCCGGGACTCACATTCGTTGATGTCTAGGGGTGGGGGGGGGGAGGAGACGGAACAGTAATTGTAGTTGCAGATATAGTTGTAGCTGTAGTTGTATGTAGCTGTAGTTGTAGTGGTTATGATAATTGTAGTCACAGTTTCGTCATTGTAATTGTAATTGTAATTATAAATTATGTAATTGTCATTGTAGGTTTAAATGAAATTGGAATTGGAATTGTAAATATAATTGTAATCGTAATTGTAATTGTAATTGTAATTGTAATACGTATATCCCAATTGGAGTAATGAAGATGATTAATTACAAAAGAGATTCTAAAACCTAATGAGAACTGAACTGCAGTCTTCTGAATATAACAGCAAAAATCCTAGCCATAAAACCACAGACAAATGCAATAAGCAAGTAACTGGAACTGGAAGTTTTATTATTCAACCATCCCCCTTCCTCCCAAATCACTTCAAAAGCGACAAGTAAATAAAGCAAACAAAAAACCCCACAAACAAACAAAAACAAACTGATGAACATGCGAACAAACAAACAGTAAACGTAGCCGTACTCACCGACACAAATGTCACCATCAGGGTGCCTCTCAAACCCTTGAGTGCACTTGGAGACACATCGGAAAGAGCCGGGGATGTTGAGACAGTCCTGGTTGGGGGAGCAGCTGGCGATACCCGCCACACACTCGTCCAGGTCTGGGCAGGGATGTATACGAACACGATTGAGAGACAGAGAGAAAGTGAGAGAAAGAGAGAGAAAGAGAGAGAGAGAGAAAGATAGAGAGAGAGAAATAGAGAAAGAGAGACACAGAGAGAGAGAGAGAGAGAGAGAGAGAGAGAGAGAGAGAGAGAGAGAGAGA